AATAAACATTAAAAAAAAAAAAAGAACCTAATTCTTCCAGATTATCCAGTTCTGGGGACAACCCTGGGGTGACCACTGTCTGTCTGGAGGGGGATGGGATAAGCCATGGCCTCAGACCAGTCCTCTGACTGCAGTGCAAGTGCCAGCTCAGGCCTGAAGTTAAGAGTCACCTGGATGCCTCTTCTTCCCGCTGCTTCAGGGGACCCCACTGGGCGGGACCCCAAAGCTGGCCGGGTTGGCTTTGCTTTCAGAATGTCCCCAGGCCACTTCCCACACGCCGGCCCACATGACCCCAGAATAAGCTCTCAGCATCTCTGCCTGGGCTTCATAAGAGCCTCTCCTCGGATTTCCAGCTTCCACCCTTCCCCACCCTCCCCATCCATCTGCAGGGACTAGCCCCAGGGCTCCTGGTGCTGCTCTGATCAAAGCTCCCAGCAAAAAAAAAAAACAAACAAACAAACAAAAAAAGCCCAGCCCCTGAGAACAGAACTGGATCCCCTCCTGCTCCTTCTCTCGCCTGGCCTCCTCTGGGCCTCTTCTCCCGCACACCCCTCCTCCGGGGCACCCCTCCCAGCTAGGGGGTGCTGGGTGATCCCGGAATACACCTGGCTCGTTCTTCCTCAGGGAGCAGAATTCCCTCCGCCTGGCTCCCCCAGGGGTCTGCAGGCTCCTTTGCCTTCATTCAGATCTCTCTATGTGCCACCTCCTCTCTTCCCGGCCTCTCTCCGCTGGTGGCCCCTCACCCCTTCCCTGATTAGCTCTTCCCCATGCACCCCTCATTGCTGGAATTAACCTTGTGCTGCCCCACCCAGATTGAAAGCTCGGCAGGGCGGGGGTTTTTTGAACATTTTGTTCCTGAAGCCCAGAGTCCAAAAAGTACCTAGCACATAGAGGGTGGTTCATAATTACCGGTTGAATGAAAAACAAGGGCTTCTCCTTCTCCTCTTTCCCAGCAAATACCCATTAAACATTCACCGGGGCTGGAGTCGACCCTGGAACCAGATGCAGTGGTGAAGCTTGGAAGTCCAGTTGGGGAGACAGAGCTGTGCATCTAAGGTGGTGAGTCCCGGGGGTTGTCAGGGGTGGGGGGCAGTAGTGGGAAAAACTGGCCCAGTCTGAGTGCATCAGGGAGGACGTCCCAGAGGAGGTGATGCCTAAGCTGAGGGCTTGGCTTGAAAGAGGAACTGCAGTTCCTGGCGTCTAGGGAAAGGGAGGGGGCTGGTGGGGAGGGAGGATTCTTCAAGTCTGCGGAAGGTCCTGGTCCCTCCTGGAGGCAGGGATGTCGCCCCTCATGGCCACGTGTCAACCTCTGGCACACAGTAGGTGTTCGTGAAAACTGCCGAGGTAGCCAGTGTCCTGGAGCCACACCTGATTTTGAGGAAGGCATTTCAGCTGCTGAACAGGAGCCTTGTGGGGGGCAGGGGCGTGGTAGGGGTGAGGTTGGCAAGGGCTGGGCAGAATTCCCCTAGGGATTCAGAGGATCAGATGAGTTTTGACATGGAAAGGGCCCCAAGTTCCAGAGTCTTTGTCGCTGCTTCCCTGGTGGGAAGGAAGTCAGCTGACTGGAAAGGGAGCTGAGGATCGAGGCCCATCCAGGTGGAATCAGGGCAGGCACCAGTCTTCTTTCTGTCTGTCTGTCCCGGGTCTGGCCCTCCTGGCATCCTGGCCCCGGTGGGATGGGCTGAGGCTCCGCACTGGGCTTCAAGTGGGGCCCGAATAGTCTAGGGCCAGGGCAAAGGCAGAGAGAGGCCTCCTGGCCGAGGGGCCGACCTGGCCCCTCCTTGTGTGCACAGGACCCTGAGCCTGGTCACGTACACCGAGCCCCTCGGGAGGGGTGGGGTGGGAGGGAGAGGCACCCGGTGTTCCCAGAGTGTGGAATGTGGCACCTGGGGGGAAGCTGGCCCTCTCCCTTCCCCCACTGCAGGGACAAGGGGCCCCCCCCCCCCCCCCCCTTTGGCCCTGGTTCCTGTCAGGCTGGTTTTTCCTCCCCTAGGGACTTGAAGAGGAACACCAGGGGCCATCCAGACCGGCCTGCTCTGCCCCACCTTTTATGGGTTCCCACTTGTGGAAAGTGACGAGATGAGCAGTCACAGAGGCAGCCAGACCTGGGCTGCTGGCCTTGGGTCCCCCTGCCACCACCCACCTGGCCTGAGCAAGCTCTTCAGAGCATGGCCAGTATTTTTTGTCTTCGTCCTTCACGACCCAGGCTCGCTCCTAGGCTCCCAGGACTACATTCAGGCTCTGTTTATCTGTAATGATCTCAGCAGACCCGAAACTGGTCTCCCCACCCCAGACCACGCCCCACTCCCGTGTGCCCCCCGGGCCCCGGGGCCCCCCCCCGCACCTGGAACCCGCAGCAATTTCTAAAGCATACATTTGACTACATCACATCGATGATTAAAATAACCTCCTGTTGTCTTCAGGATCAAGTCCATCTCGTTGGCTGAGCTGACAGCCCCTTCCTCCCACCCCTGCCCTGACCCCTGTCCTCCCTCACATAGTCCAGCCGGACCGAATTGCCAGTGGTTCTCCAAGCTGGCCAAAGTGATTCCATTCTTCCAGGCCCCTGTTCCCTTGCCCCCTGCCTGATAAACACCTACTAGTCTTTTAGCCTCTTGCTCAAGGGTCGTGCCCCCTTAGGAAAGCTGTCTCGATGCTCCCAGGAGGAAATGAATGCTCTCCCTTTGCCCCCACTTGCTCCTGTGCAGACACGATTCCCAGCACTGACACACTTGATTATACTGATCTGTTTGAGGCCTAAACGCCTACTGGCTCAACAGTTCTAGAAAGATGGCCCACATAGTGGCTACTCACTCCCACACCTCTAGAAATCCTCCCAGTTATTTCAGAAGGTCCTCAGAGGGACGCCCCCATGTGCTGACAAGGTGGCTGCTGACCGTAGGCTCATGTGGGGTACACTCTGCTTCTCCCCAGCTCTGGCCCCGCCGGTCCACGTGCACTACCTAGGGTCAACATCCGTGTCCATGCTGGCAGGCCTTGTCTGGGTGCTTCTAAAGCTTCTGGTCCTTGGGGAGCTAGAGCAGGGGTCTCCCCCACCCTCCCTGTTTCACCTCATTAGGCCCGAAGGAGCCCTCCTGCACCCAGGCTCTCTCCAAGTCCCTCTTGAAAAGTTTCTGCCACATCTTCCCTTCTACCCTCTGGCTTCATAAAGAGGGAAAACCCGTGCAAGGGACCCCAGGGGTGGGGACAGGACTTAGAAAGCTTTTTGGGGGGGCTGTCTTTTCCCCACATCTGCTGCTCCCCTTTCCAAAACTTCCTCTCTAGTGTATGAGTGAGACAAAGACGTCAGTGGTGTGTGGATGGAGGGGAAGAGGTATTTACTCTATTAAATAAAATCAGTTCTAAATGTCCATCATGTAGTGTTTCTTAAGAAATTATTGCCTGCTGGGGCGCCTGGGTGGCTCAGTCGATAAGGGTCCAACTCTTGATTTCGGCTCAGGTCATGATCTCATCGTTCGTGAGTTTGAGCCCCTGCATCAGGCTCTGTGCTGGCAGTGTGGAGCCTGCTTCAGATTCTCTCTCTCCCTCTGTGCCTCCCCAACTTGTCCTCTTTCTCTCTCTCTCTCTCTCTCTCTCAAAATAAATAAACTTAAAAAAAATTATTGCCTATTAATGCGTAACATGAAACAAGTTACACGTAAATACATCCTTGTAAAAATTAGAACAGCAGATGGGGCGCCTGGGTGGCTCAGTCGGTTGGGCGTCCAACTTCAACTCAGGTCATGACCTCACACCTTATGGGTTCGAGCCCTGCGTCGGGTTCTGTGCTGACAGCTCAGAGCCTGGAGCCTGCTTCGGATTCTGTGTCTCCTTCTCTGACCCTCCCCCGCTCGTGTTCTGTCTCTCAAAAATAAATAAACATTAAAAATTAAAAAAAAATTACAACAGCAGAGATAAGTATGGGTTGCCTTCACTCAGCTTCTCTCCAAGGAAATCCTTGTCTTTGGTCTGGAGCACGTCCTCCCGCACCTGTGTGCTTACATGCATATTCATATGCATACGGAGAAATAGCCATCTTTTTAAAAAATGTTTATTTATTTTTGAGAGAGAGTGACAGAGCATGAGCGGGGGAGGGACAGAAAGGGAGACACAGAATCGGAAGCAGGCTCCAGGCTCTGAGCTCTCGGCACAGAGCCCAACGCGGCGCTCGAACCCCAAACCGTGAGATCACGACCTGAGCCGAAGTCAGACGCTTAACCGACTGAACCACCCAGATGCCCCCCGAGGTCCACTACTTACCTGCAGGACCTTGGTCAAGTTTTTAACCTCTTTGAGCCTCAGCTGATCCTCAGGCCGGATCAGCTTTTCTTGTGACATATGGATTATTAATTCATAGGTGTCACCTGAGAAAAGATTCCATGGTCCAGTATATTTGGTAAATTCTGGTTGGACAAAGTTAAATAATAATACTTATAATACATGATAATATATATCATTATAAGTATCATTATATAATCCTATCAATATATTGTTACAAGTAAATGATAATATAACAACACATACACTATTTATTATGTAATGATTGTTGAATATTGTGATATTACTATTTCATAATTAAATTATATAATAACATTGTTTTGAGTGCTTACTATTTGTCAGACGCCCTTACAAGGACCATCTCATTTAACCCTCAAAACAACGCCATAAAGGAGGTTACTATTATTATCTGTGTTTTACAAATGACGGACTAAGGTCATCAGAGCCTTTGGTACCACGCACTGTCACTCTCTAAGAGGGAGTGGGGACAAGCAGTATTTCTGATGTTTGTCAGTGGATCCCCTTTTCCCAAAGGGATGTCATGGTGCTGGGGCTTTGTAGACATGAGGTGGGGGAGGTTGGGCAGGATCCGGTCTGGGATTCTCTCATGCTTTAACATTCCCTTCCCACTCCTGACGCTGTGTGCCCCTCCCCTGGAGGCGAGGGAACCTTGGCGTGGGGACCAGGGCTTGGGAAGGGAGCTCCTCCGTCAGGTTTTGCCCTCCAGCAGCCAGGGGCCGATCAGAGACTCAGGGCTGTGGGCAGTTCGTTACTGAATGGGAACAGCAGCTTGACCCCTCAGTTACATCTCTGGGGACAGCGGTCCATCCAGGTTGTTAGCTCCTGAGTTCTTGATGTACCAGAGAACTGGTCCAAAGCCATGCAGCTCAGGGTGGAAGGTGTTGGGCACTGTTCTGGCTGGGGAGCAGGGGAAGGGGATTCTTCCTGACCCCCCTTGCATTTCAGCCTGGGGTTTACTGCCCTTGGGGTTGGTATAAGATTTTGGAAATGGGACCCAAAGGAGTTGTTCTGGAGCTGCGGCTTCGTTGGAAGGGAGAGCGGAGCCCCTGTCCCACCCCAGAGCCCCGGCCGCCGGGCTGAGGGGTGAGAGGCTGGAAGCCAGGCTCTGACACAGCTGGCTGTGGACCTGCCAAGTCATTGCCCCTCTTGGAGCCTCTGTTTTCTCCTCTGTAAAATGGGCTGGGCTGCTGTGAGGATCCAATCAGACCTGAAAAGATGTAGGCTGTACTCCCCTCAGTCAGTTGTTATGATTATGGCCCTGGGGCTCGCACGGGACACTCTAAGCTCCTCTGGAGTTTTGGGAGCTCACAACCCCTTAATATTTGGGGGTGGGGGGCTTTGGTCCTATTCTTTTGTTTCCTAACACAAAGCTCCTTCCCAAAGCCTCCTATCAAGCCAGAAGAACAGAGATTCCAGCTCGGGCTTGGTGTTCCTAGCAACCATCTGGCCCATGAAGAGCAGGCCTCCTTCTCTGGGTCAAATAAAGAGTGACTCACCTCAGCCCAGCCCTGGCGGCTACAACCTTTGTGAAGGCCCACCACACCCTGCTTTCAGGGCCTGCCTTGGGTCACACCCGTCTTCTTTTCACCTTTGGGCACCCCAGACCCACTTACAGGTCTGATTCACTAGTTTAAACAGCCTCAGGCTGGCCTTCCTGAGTGGCTCAGGGCTCTTGCTGGTGGGTTAGGGGTGTGTGTAGGCGGTTTCCTGTCCCCTGCTCCTGGCTATAAGTTGGTGGCTGGAAGGCAGTTTGTTGGGGACTGGTTTCAGAGGCCTTCCTTTAGCCACAGGGGACCCAGGTGATGATATGTAGAAAGGAGGACTGAGATTTCACGGGGGAAACTGAGGCACGTTGACGGGAAGTGACTGGCCCATCTCCCTAACAGCATCTCAGAAGGGCTTAGGGCCTCGGTCCTGTGACTGAGTGACCGCTCTGACCTAAGGAACCATGGAGACATTTCTGAGGAGGGGTGAGGTCCTTGTGGACAGGAACTGGGGTGAGGCACAGGCAGTGTCTGGCAGGGGGCCCGGCCTTCCCAGGCGATGAAGAAAAGGTGGAATTGTTGAGCGGGATGAAGAGGGGTGAAGAGCGGGGCTGGGGGCTGTGTGTGGAGACGAGGGTTCCTTCCCCTATGATCCAAGCTCTTCACTCCGGCCATGAGAACCTCCGGAGAGCCTGGCAGTTCAGCCATTCGTCCATGTCTGAGGCTCCGGGATTCAGCCTGATACCCTCCTTCCAGATGCTCACACGGAGGGAGGGATTCCACCCCATTTCTGTCTCTGGGTGGCAGGCGCTACATGTCTCATGGGCAAGTTATTTGCTTCCTTCAGGCTCAGATTCCCCATCATGGATTTCAGGAAATCTGTGTTGAATGAATGCATGATTTGCGGGCGGAGGGTGGGGGCTGTCCTGGAGGGGGTAGGTGGTAAGAGGCCCCCAGGGGGTCTGCCCCAGGTGGGGTCAGGCTTGAGCCTGGGGTTCCCAAGAAGCCCCATATAGCCCAGCTGCAGAAGCCTCCCAGCAGCCAGCAGCTGTTCTCAGGAGCCTGCTCTCCGCCCTCCCCATCCCCCGCGCAGCCCCAGCCCCAGCCCCAGCCCCAGCCCCCGCCCCCAGCCCCAGCCCCAGCCCCCGGCCCCAGCCCCAGCCCCAGCCCCGGGATTTGTATGGCTCCAGCGGCCGGCAGCTTTGTCTCAGAAGGCCAGCAGCAACAGTCCCCTCCTCTCTGGGAAAGAGAGGGAGTCAGGGTGTGGGTGATCCCCACGGGGCTGTAATTCCAAGTGGGGTGTAGGAATCTCCTGAATGTACTGGAAGGAAGGGTTAACTTAGACCCCCAAGGAAGGGGCTTCAGAACATAATTCTAGAGGGGGCCTCTGAGTGATGGGGGGAGGGGGAGGACTGGGTGTAGGAGTCTACTGTCGGAAGGACTTAATTCCTGGAGGGGGTGTCAAACCTGGGGAAATCTTAATCGGGGAGGCCCAGAATGTGACTGGGAGGGTGTCCTTGTGTTGTGATGGGGTGAAGAAGGGAAGGAGTGTGACGGGAGGTGCTCCGTCGGGGCTCTGGAGTGGGCAGGGGTGGGGCACTTCGAGGGGGGAGGGTGGGGGTGGGGGTGAACACTGTCTCAGGCCCCTGGGAGGGAAGAGCTGGAGGGAAGAGCTGGAGGCAGAGCCGCCAAGAATCGACCAATGGGGAGAGTGCCCGTATTTGCACTCTGGAGCTTGCAAATTCCTCGGGGCTCAGATATCCGCCCTGACGCCCTCCCCCCTCCCCCTCTCCCTGCCCCCGCCCGCCTAGGGCATAAAAGGCGCCAGGTGAGGCCCTCGCCACTCCTCCCGCCAAGCGATACGCTACTGAACTATTCCCGCTGCGTCCCCATGGCTTCCTACACTTACCGCCAGTTGGCCACCACCTCGTCCCTCGGGGGCCCGGGCAGCGGCTCCCTGCGCTTCACGGCGGGAAATGTCTTCCGCGCGCCCAGCATCCATGGGGGTTCGGGCGGCCGCGGCGTGTCCGTGTCCTCCGCCCGCTTCGTGTCCTCGTCTTCCGGGGGCTACGGCAGCAGCTTTGCGGGCGGCCTGGCCGGGTCCGACGGCCTCCTCTCCGGCAACGAGAAGCTCACCATGCAGAACCTTAACGACCGGCTGGCCTCCTACCTGGACAAGGTGCGCGCCCTGGAGGAGGCCAACGGCGACCTGGAGCAGAAGATCCGCGACTGGTACCAGAAGCAGGGGCCCGGGCCCTCCCGAGACTACAGCCACTACTTCAAGACCATCGAGGATCTGCGGGACAAGGTGGGCGGCGGCCCAGCTTCGGGAGGTGCACCTGTCGCGCAGACCCAGCCCCGCGGGCCGGGCGAGGCCCGAGGCGGGCACGGCGGGCACCGGAGCCACCACCCGACAGGGCAGGGCGGTAGCGAGCCCGTTAGGACGTGGGAGGGCCGCAGGGTGGGGCAGAGAGCTGGGGGCAGGTGAGCGGGGGCAGGACAGTGGGACAGGAAGTGGAGGCTGGGGCTGAGGGAAGGGGGTGGGGTGTGCAGCTGCGGTGGGGGCGGGGCTGGAGGGTGGGGAGGTCTGGGAAAGGGGGTGAGAAGGAGTAGGAGGAGGTGGGACAAGGCTGTGGGCTGTCCGGAGGTCTGGGCCAGAGGCTGCAGTCACAGACAAGAGTTTGGCCTGGGAGGGACCCATCCGCTGCTGCCCCCGGCGTGGGCCCCTCTGCATTGCATTCCTCTGGTGGGGCAGGTCTGCTTTCCTTCACGCTCGGGCTGGAGCCCCTCCTGCCCCGCCCAAGAGGGCCACCCGGATTTAGGAAGAACTTCTAGGAAGAATGGGAGGGGACAAATGCTGTGGCCCAAAGACCTGGTGAAGGCGGGACACACTCAGAGGCCCCGGGGGTCCTTTTCAGCAATAGTTCTGTGTGGGTGGAGAGTCCTGGGGTTGGGGGGGTGGACCACAGGTCTTACAGGGAGCCCCGAGGCCATGCGGAACTGAGACCTCTGCCTTGAAGAAATGTATCAGAAGCCAGTGGGACATTTAATGGTCCCACATGCTGGGTCTCCAAAGCGGGCCCGGCGCCTGCCCTGTGCCCAGCATGGTGCGGGCCGCTAGGGGCATAGAACAGATAGGCCAGACTTCTAGACGAGGGGGGACAGCTAGAGATGTAAACAACAAAGTAGAATACTGCTTGCACACTTTAAAAATTGTAACCTGCCGTAAGAAATACATTTCAGGGTGTTCTCGCTCTGTGATGCACAGAGCGTTCTCGCTCTGTGATGCACACACCCAAAATGGAAGCAAAGCTTTCTTGAAACAATTCTTACCCTGCTGTGGTCCATCTCTTCTCATATTTTATATTCTGTTCAGTTTCATTAAAAAACTATGCAAATCACCACTCACTGTACTGGGTGACTAATGAGCCATGACCTGCTCTTTGAAAAACATGAACCCAAGTACCATAATCCATGATGTGAATATGCCCATCACATCAGAGGGACCTCAGATGGGGGTCAATTTGGACAAGGACTCCTGAAGTTCATTTCCACCTCTGTAAGATAGGCATACCCACTGACCTGGCATGAAAGATGAAGTGCAAAGTGCTTGGCACATAATAGATGCTCAACACATGGGAATTCGCTTTCCTAAAGCAGATTGTGCTTTGCACGGGGGGTTCAGAGAAAGGTAACCCAATACGCCATCTGGTTTGCAGATCATTAGCGTCTGCCTCCCGACCATTTAGAGTACAGGTCTCAGATGCTTTCCTCCCAGACTCCCCTCTGCCCTCCCACACCCGTCCCCTACCCCCTGGCTCAGCAGTCCCTGACCACGGTTTCTCCTGCTCTAGCTCCTGGGCAGGGACTGACTTCAAGACCTCCCAGAGAGCAGGCCAATGGTCAGCTGAGTCTCTAGGGGGTAGGGGCACACCCATTTGTTTTCGTCTGTCTTCTGGGAAGAAAGTGGGTGGACAGAGCCAATATGCTGAGCTGGTGCCAACCTCCTGCCTCTGTCTTCCAGATTCTCGGTGCCACCATCGAGAACTCCAAGATCGTCCTGCAGATTGACAATGCCCGTCTGGCTGCCGATGACTTCCGCACCAAGTGAGTATGTGTTTGCCCTGGAGGGCTGCAGAGGGGGCAATGCCAGGCCCTTTGGGGGCTCGGTGCAGCGGGGGACTGCTCTCTGTCCTCGCTCACCCCAGCTGGCCTGGAGTAAGCCCCACCACCTCCACGGACTCCTGAACCATGAGGAGAGTTCAGGGAGGACTCCTGAACTCTGCAGGGGTTCGGAGGAAACGCTGGCCTGACTGCACCTATTTCCTCTGAAAGGCTTGAGATGGAGCAAGCCCTGCGCCAGAGCATGGAGGCCGACATCAACGGCCTGCGCAGGGTGCTGGACGAGCTGACCCTGGCCAGGACCGACCTGGAGATGCAGATCGAAGGGCTGAAGGAGGAGCTGGCCTTCCTGAAGAAGAACCACGAGGAGGTGGGTGTCAGGCTGCGCCTCCTGTCCATCCCACTCCAGCTTTCCAGGGCTGAGGACACTTTTTTGTCCTGTATCCTCTTGACCATGGCTGCACTTGCTGTACCCTCGGCATGGCCCCGGGCGTGGAGCAGGGCTTCCGGGGGTTCCAGCAGCGGATGGAGGCCACCTTGTCTGTCCTGCGGTGGTGGCTCCTGGTCTGCACCTGAAAATCAAGCCCTTTCCGCCTGGGGGACGGGGGAGTGACTTGGCCCAGGCCCAGCAGGCTCTGGGCTCCGACATGCCCATCTCTGCTGTGTCTTTCCAGGAAGTCAGTGCCCTGAGGGGCCAGGTGGGTGGCCAGGTCAGCGTGGAGGTGGATTCTGCTCCGGGCATTGACCTTGCCAAGATCCTGAGTGACGTGAGAAGCCAATATGAGGTCATGGCTGAGAAAAACCGAAAGGATGCTGAAGACTGGTTCACCAGCCGGGTACGGCGAGGGGAGCGGGTGCCCTCTGGGGAGGTGGCAGGGAGAGAGGGCTTTGTGCTCTCAGACAGAGGTCTGCCTCAGTGCTGACTCCTTCTGCCTCCTCTCTTATTGCAGATGGAGGAGCTGAATCAGGAGGTGGCCGGCCACACAGAGCAGCTGCAGATGAGCAAGACGGAGGTCACCGAACTGCGGCGCACCCTCCAGGGTCTGGAGATTGAGCTGCAGTCGCAGCTAAGCATGGTTTGTGCCCCCTGCCCCGTGGGATGCACGCCGGGGCCCTCGCAGCCTTGCGCAGCCCGGGCCGTGGCTGTGCCCATGCCCTCTCTGGGAACCGGTCTCCGCTGAGTCTGTTCCCTCTCCCTGCTCTCAGAAAGCCGCCCTGGAAGGCACGCTGGCGGAAACAGAGGCCCGCTTTGGAGCCCAGCTGGCCCAGATCCAGGCTCTGGTCAGCAGTATGGAAGCCCAGCTGAGCGACGTGCGTGCGGACACTGAGCGGCAGAACCAGGAGTACCAGCAGCTCATGGACATCAAGTCACGGCTGGAGCAGGAGATCGCCACCTACCGCAGCCTGCTGGAGGGACAGGACGCCCAGTACAACAACCTGCCCACCTATAAGGCTCTCTGAGTCCGGCAGCCTCCTGAGCTTCCTGCTGTCCCGCAGAGAGGTTCCCCTGGGGAGGGGCATGTGGGAAGGGACGGGCCCTACCCCCAGCTCTTTCCCTGACCTGCCAATAAAGCTTTATGACCCAAGGGAGGAAGGATGTTGGGTTTGTTGTTTCAGCCCATAGAGATGGGCCAGGACTTGGTCCTGTTAAGGTTTTATTTGGATCAGAGTGCACCCTGTCCTAAGAGAGGGAAGGGGTGGGGTACACGCTAACTCCTATGGTCGTGGTAATTCCTGTTTGCGGAACTTTTCATTTATCAAACCTGTTCCTTGAAACAAGCCTGTGATGGGGGCTTAGTCGGTTGAGCGTCCGACTTCGGCTCCGGTCATGATCTCACGATTCGTGGCTTCAAGCCCCACATCGGGCTCTGTGCTGACAGCTCAGAGCAGCCTGCTTCAGATTCTGTGTCTCCCTCTCTCTCTGCCCCTCCCCTGCTCGTATTCTGTCTCCCTCTCTCAAAAAAAATGTAAAAACAAACTTGTGAAGCAAGCATTGCTCCCATTTTATAGAGGGACAAACTAAGGTTCAGAGAGGTGAAGTGGTTTGTTGTGTGTGTAACTGTTCCAACATGGCAAAGGTGGGATTTGAAACAGTGTGTTTTTTTCAAATTCAGTTTTTTCAAATGTTTATTTTTGAGAGACAGAGTACGAGTGGGGGAGGGGTAGAGAGAGAGGGAGACACAGAATCCGAAGCAGACTCCAGGCTCTGAGCCGTCAGCACAGAGCCCGACTCAGGGTTCCAACTTGTGAACCGTGAGATCATGGCCTGAGCCGAAGTCGGACACATAACCTACTGAGCCACCCATGTGCCCCCAGAGTTAGTTTTCTTTCCACTTTACTCCCTCATGGGTGGGTGTGTGTATTTGTGTGTTGGAAATTAATGTTTATTTGAGCACTTAGTATGTGCCATTTAATCAAACAACCCTCAAAGGTAGTTAAGTAGGAGTACGCGTCGTATAGAGCAGGAAACGGGGAAGTTAGGTAACTTGTCCAAGGTCACAGAGTGTCTAGGTTTCCTGCTTACTAGCTCGCCGGGCCACCTGGTACCCCAGTCTCCTAGGATTTGACACTCCCTTGTGCTGGGTCCTCAGTACCTTCGGGTCTTGTTCCGTGTGAAGTCCTAGGACCGGGATCCCTTGGGGGCAGCTCCTTTTGATAACATTTCTTCACCAAGCCAGGAACGGGGGCAGGCATCCCACTGAGAAGGCTGAAGAGAGTGTACCTGTTGGTGTGCATCTGTGTGCGTGCATGTGCTAACACATTCATGCATTTCTGGGCAGCCCCACATAAGCCCCCTACGCCCACCAGCTCATACCTGGGCCCAGAGCCTGGAATGGGACCCGGCCGTGACCTGGACCTCCCGCACAGACCCCCAACCTGGCTTGCCTGAGGCTGGTCCCA